GTCTAAACCAAGGTAAGAAATCATCTTTGTGGACCTCTTTTTCTTTAAGGTGCTGTAAAATTGTCTTCCGATATAATAGGATTATTTTAGATAAAATGTGAATATACTTAGCCTAGTACATATAGAAAAATTCAAAATTCTGACATTAGCTGGTTAGAATCTGTGAAAAAGCATCAAAACCAATCAGATAGATAGCTTTAATATAATTTATTAAGCCTGTGTTTATTAAGTTCCTATTGAGTAAATTTCTGTAGGTGATGAATATGACAGTTATTATCCTGAAGGGACTTATAACATAGGCAGGTGTTTAATAAGTCTTCACCTTTGAACTAAGAAGTAGATCCACTGACAATAGAGTTGACCTGAAGGAGCTGAGTGGAGATCTCCAAGGAGCAACTGATTTTCTGCTGGAGCTCTCCATGGTGCTTGTTCCACAGTATTTCAGCCTGGCCTGGCCCTTCCAAAGTTCACAGGAATCCATTAACAATGAGCAGTGTTTAAGTGTAGTAGATTTACTAGTAGATTTGGGGACTGTGTCTTGAAGCACTTTTGTCTCCCTCCTTTTCTATCTCCCTACTACGTTTCTTTGTTTCTCTCTTCTGGTTATTCCCAGGAACTCCATATAACTCTCCTTGTATTGTGCAGAGTGGTTCAACATATTTAAACCTTTACCCTCAAACCAACATAGCTAAATTTATTGAAATCCTCCTGAGAAATTCCCTGGGTAGCTGTAGAGTTTGGTTTTGGCAATCTCACTGTCTTCACACCCAAGCTCTGCCACCCGCTGCATCTCACAGGGACTTTTGGAGAGAGAAATAAAAACCAGGGATTCGGGGAACACTAGTAGTTTGCATGAGGATTAAAAGGGATGATTTGTGTAAAAGATTAAGCCTAATATATAGTGTGCATTTTTGTACATGTTAGTACTTCTTTCTCTTTCTTCCATTCACTGGTTGGTTCTGCCACAATTATACACAGAATCTTTTTGTTCCTATTATGCTAATATGCAAGAGAACCTCCATCATTAACTGCCTCCCTATATTGACCACCTCCTTAACTTGACCTAATTTTCATAGAGGGGCCATGTATCACTGTACGTATCAGTGCAACAGGTCTAGTTCCTTATGTTGACCACCTCTGTATGTTGACCAGTTTGCTACAGTCCCTTGGGTGGTCAACTTACAGAGGTCCTATAATATATTGAAAAGAGAACTCAAGTAAGAAACAGACAAATGCAATAGTTTACTTTAGTAGATATCCAACTATTGGCATTTTCTCATAAAGAAACTTAATGTGATGTTTACTGTTCCTAAAATACTGTTCAAGTATTGTAATTCTTTTACGACAATGATCAAAGAATGATAAATGCATGAATTAATACCAAGTCATTTTAAGCTAAACTAGCTTAAGTTTTTTTCTTTTATTGTGTATTTAAATAATTTTGGTTTATGTACGATATCCTTTTTCCTGTTACCCTTGTTAATTCAAAGTTGTATGTAATTGTATATAAAAACTGACTGACTTGGAGATATCTTTTTTTATTTTTTTTGAGACAGTCTCACTCTGTTGCCCGTGGTAGAGTGCTGTGGCATCACAGCTCACAGCAACCTCAAACTCTTGGGTTTAAGTGATTCTCGTACCTTAGACTCTGGAGTAGCTGGGACTATAGGTGCCCACCACAACACCCAGCTATTTTTTATTGCAGTTGCCACTGCTGTTTTTAGCTGGCTGGAGCCAAGTTCAAATCTGCTACCCTCATTATATGGGGCCAGTGCCCTACCCACTGAGCCACAGGTGCTGCCCAGAGATATATTTTATTTACAAACTTTTAAATTCTATGCAGACATTCCTACTGTTTATAGTATAGTATAGAAATATGAAACTAAGAAATTTTGTTGTTTATTACCCTCATCTTTCAGCATTGCTTAGAGAACAGTAAGTCTGCATTCTTACTTCCATATACTTTGTTATTAAGTGTGATATTTTAAGGAATCAAAATTAACTTATAATTTTGTATAATTTGTAAGGGGCTTTCTATACATCCAATCTTCTTTATTTTTAATATATTATTTAGCAATAGAGGTTAACATATATTGAAACACTTGCATAATTTTTTTTTCAATCAGATATTAAGTACCACCTTTTTAAAAAAGAACCTTTTTCAGTTGATTTCTGCATGGAACTTGGCAGATGGTAGCAGTCATTTGGAAAATTATATGTGTCATATTTGCCCTTGATAACCTTGATAACTATTTTATCATAAGGGACTTTCTGAGCCTCAAGGCACTAACAGTAACATATGATGTCAGTGAATAAATCTGAATTAACTTATCATAATATAGATCCTTTTGATTTACTTACATGGAATTAATGGGTGATGGTATCATCAGTAAAGCTCTGTATTTCCTGAAGAAGTTGACAGAAGACTCAGCAAGGTTTTCTATAACTCTGTAGGAAATTCCTGGTTTAAAATTCAGTCATCAACTGGGCACAGTGGCTGAAACCTGCAATCCTAGCCTTTGGGAGGCTGAGGTGGGAGGATTGTTTGAGACCAGCCTGAGCAAGAGTGAGACCCCATCTTTACTAAAAATAGAAAAATTATCTGGGTGTTGATGTGGGTGCCTGTAGTCCCTCCCTTGGGAGGCTCAAGCAAGAGGATTGTGTGAACCCAGGAGTTTTGAGGTTGTTGTGAGCTAAGCTGATGCCGCAGTATCCCAGCCTTTAGACAGAGTATTTCATCTAAATAAATAAATAGGGTCAGGACCTATAGTTTCCTTTTTAATCTATCACATGGAATTTATAACACATTTTCCTTTAGAAATAACGGACTAAGTGGTGGTACAGAGATCCCTGAACTTACACCTGAAAATCTTTTGTAACCCTTATGCAAATCAGAATCATCATTACCAGCATCATCATTTGTGCTAAGAATCTAGCAACACCGTATTCCAGATGATGTGTTTGTTTCTTCTCCCTCCTCTTCATTTTCCTTACCTTTGAGTTCTTGCAGATTCTGCTCAATGAGGAATAAGGATGATAGTAACATGGGCATATCTTCTCGTCATTCTTCTCCACATTGCCAAGTAACAGGGAGGGAACACTAGTAGATTGCCGAGCTCTGAAATTGGCCAATCATTAACCATGGTGTAACTTCATCTGGCTGCTCACTGGGTCTAAAATATGGAGTGGCCACAAAGTTCATGTTACACATCAACTGTATTTTATGTATATATATATTATTACATTTATATATATTTTTACATATATTTATGTATATTATATTATATATTATAAATATAAAATTATATGTTAGATCTATATGTATTTCAGATATATATTACTATATATATTTACTATATACTTATTTACCTATAGATACACACACACACACACACACATATATATATGTGGGCATTCTGTCATTGCTATGATACCTCAATAGATGCCTTTTCCATGTTGAGACTGAGATTCATCCTGGTATTGCCATGTGGTTTTGTTTTCTCTCCCATCTCTACTTCTACTTAAATATTAGTATTGCTACAGTAATTTTATTTAAGACAGAATCTTGGTTACAAGGGAATAAAATAATATTGAGCTCTTGTCCTTAAGTCTTAAGGGGGTTTTGAAATGCATACTTCTGTTGTCCTCTCACCAGACATTCTGCCTCAGTAAATCTGGGCTAGAACTCAGGAGTTTTTCACCCAACTGAGTTACCTTTGCTACCAGAACACTGCTGAGCTGAGATGCCAGTTGGATGAAACCTGGAAAGTGGTCAGCTCATTTGTTTATCTTGGCTGTAAGGTACTAGAGGCAAAGAAAAAGGAAATATTTCTCAAAATTAAACCTGGATGATACTTGTAGGAGAAGATTTAGTCATTCGTTCATTCATTTCATTGATATTTGCCGACTTCAGACCAGGTTGCCACAGTGAACAGAACACAGATCCGTGCTCTCACGGAGCTTTTACAGACTTACTTAAAAGTCCATTCACTAGCGACAAAACACATCTTTTACCAGTGGGTATGAACTATAGTACCGAATTGTATTTTAGAGCAATCCTCATGGGCATGTAATACAAAACTTGCTTTTGAAATAGAGAATCCTAGTTAAGTTTAGAACATCCAGATCAGAGCCTCAATTATTGGACATTAGTCTTAATAAAACATTATGCAGTTTCCCACACCGTCTAGGGTTTAGCATCTGATCAGCTGCTGACTGAGTGTGCTATTACGCCTTTTCAGACCTCCAGCAGTGGAAGGCACTCTGTTCGCATCACCGGCCTCAGTACCATTGATTTCCGAGCTGGCTTTTCCCGAAAGCCCACCCTGGACTTCAAAAAAACAGTTAGCAGACCAGTGCAAGGTTTGTATGTGCACGCTACTTCAATTGGCATAATAGATCTCCAAGTAGAGAATATTTCTCAGATTATTATTTTCTAGCTTTATAGTATTCAATAAAATTGAAATTCACAGCATCTTTACATTGAGTGTGATTGTCACTGTTTCATAAAATGTACTTCCAAGACCAGTGATATCAAAATCACTCAGTGTGCTTGTTTAAAATTAAGATTCCTAGCTGGGTGTGGTGACTCACACCTGTAATCTTAGCACTTTGAGGGGCTGAGGCAGGAGGTGACACTTGAGGCCCAGAGTTCACGACCAGCTTTAGCAACATGTGAGCACTCATTTCTAAAAAACCATTAGCTGGGCACTGTAGCAGCTGGAGTCCTGAAGAGGGAGGATCCCGTGAGCCCAGGAGTTTGAGGCTGCAGTGAGCTACGATTGCATACTGCACCTTAGCCTGGGTGACAGAGCAAGATCCTGTCTCAAAAAAAAAAAAAAAAAAAAAGATTCCTCGGCTTCACTTTGTATCTCCTGAATTAGAAGCCCAGAAGCTAGGGCCCAGGAATATATACTTTGGTGTGCAACTCAGTTGATTCATACACTTCTTAAAAGCTCAACCATACTGTAACTCTTAACATTTTTTTGTTCATTGTTCTTTATTTTTACTGTTGTAGTTTCTAGAATGATATGAAATAGTGAATTTTTTTTTTTTTTTTTTTT